GGGAAAACAAAGGAAAGGGAGAGGGAGACCGTCTGGTCGGGAAGACGAGTCGAGGTCCTCATATCCGTCACCCGATGCTGTCATGCATCTTGCGGTCTGCCAGTCGTGTCACTGTCTTTTTCTTGCCGCCCGGCCTAGAGGGAATGGATCGAGAAGTGGACAGTCCAAGGTGACGAGCATCGACGAGAAGCACGAAGGACGGGCTCTGAATGGCCAGATTTAATTTTGGAACACGGACGCCAGGCCTGTTTCGGCCGGGTCCATGCTGCTGGGCGCTTAAAGGTGGTGAGGTGAGTGTGAGGGCCAGCGAGAAAAAGGTGAGGCGTGCAGGCGGGAAGCTGTGGTGGCTGGGCGACAGTGACACGAGATTCGCTGTGCCGCCAGCGGGCACAGCGGGGAAGCCACTGTAGAGGGGCACCAATGTGACGGGTCTACTGCATCCCAAGGCTCTCCATGGCAGGGCTTGCTGTAAATAGTGCACTGGCATGCAGCTGTAGCGTCTCGGTAGCTGCTAATTGAAGAACACGGCCGCTATTCTCGGGGTGCCCAGCGACCAATGTGCGCTGTCCAAAGTGCCCAGATGCCCAGCATGCAGAGAATTATTGATTGGAGGGTCGGGGGATCATGAGAGCCACCACAAGCATCCCCAGTGCTGGGTGAGGTAGTTTATTGCCAATTGGGTCCAATGACTCTCGCCTTACTCAACTGTCGCTGTCAGTAGCCGTCCATGGATTGACTTTCGCGGTCTCCCATCATCGCGAAAGAAAAAAAAGTTTGACTGCCCGGGTCTGGGGAACCCTTTCCTAGGTTCCTTTCCATCCAGAAGGCGCTCCCCCGATGTCTGACTGACAGGCCCCTTGCCTTTGCGAGGAAAGACAACGGCGGGAAAGCAACGGAAAGAAAATTAAGAATGAGGAAGGCACAGGGGTCACCCCCACACTCCGACTAGTCTCTTTTCTGCTTGGTGGCAGGGGTCGCCGGTTACACATGTGCGAGGTGCGGCAGGTCCCACCCGGTCAGCAACGTCCACCGCAGCCAGGCACGCCGCACGCCGCACGCCGCACGCAGGACCGCGACCACGACCGCTCTTGCCTGGATCCACCACCACTACCACCAAAGGCAGCAGGAACAGCGGCACAGCAAGAACACCTTTCCTTCCTTGGCCGTCTTGGCCCGTGCATCACCCGCAAATCTCCAAACTTGTCATCCCAGCACCTGCACCACCAAAAGCCTCCTCATCCACACTTTATCCCCGTCGTGAAACCCTCAACCCTTTTGCCAACCCTCACGTCAAACTTCCACCCACCCTCCCTCCGTCCTTTTTCCCTCCAGCACCCGCCCAAAGACGCCTGTCAGCTTATCTCGATCCTAACAAGCCCACCTGTCGCCCGGGCAAGGTTCGCAGGGGCGCCGTCTTCCCCCCCCTGACTGTCTGGCACGAGCGGAAAGTCTAAGCCATGTGCCGCCGTCGCCCAATGGCATCCCTCCTTTGCCTCGACGCAATGTTGCTCCCATGCGCCCGTCCCTCTCCTCAGGGTCTCAGTCGAATGGACCACCCAGCAAGACGGCCTTCCATGAGCCCATCCGTGGGCTCCTCAACGTAAGAATCGTACGATAATGTTTACAGATCACCTGTCTTTGATTCACCTTGCGCAGAATCCCTATTCAACCCTATTTTTTCCCCGGCTCAAGCTTAAAGACTTCAAGCATTCTCGCTTTTTTATTTGAACCATCAGTCCACCTCGTTCTTGGCTCGACGTTCTTCCTCCAGCGAGGCTGAACCTCTGCCTCGTTCTCGCTCCCTCCAGGACGGACCACCCACACTCGCCCACAACTCTCTCTCCTCTTGTCTCCTGCTCGACCTACCGCCCTGGCCGTTTCGGATACTCGGCACAATCTCCAACTCGACTCCTCCCTCACCCAATGCTTACCAAAAAGGCAAAAGACTCGTATTGACTCGCCCCCAGTCCTGCACCGGTTCCGCCTCCAGTATCATCGCCGCTCCAAGCCCATCACCGATGCCAGCCAAAACCATTCGCCAGACGCGCTGACGTCTATCAACTAGCCTCGTCAGAACCCCCCTGGCCGCTCCTGTTACTTGGAGCCGCTTCGCCAAGCCCCCACCAGCCGTTTTGCGCATCTTCGCTGCAATCGTCCTCGCCCTCGTCCTGACGCCGCTATGCCATATCCTGGTGAAACGGCCAACGCCAAACATTGGCACGGCTCTCCACACTCAAAACGGCTTTTATGCCCGCATGAGGCACCAACCTGGCCCACCTGCGTGATCGTCGCTCACACAGACATCCACGACACTCTACCAGTCAGCCTCCGGTCTCCACAATTAACGCCAAGCTTTCTTCAATGCCAGGCTGCCTCCCTTTAAGCTTCCCTTCCCGACAGGGGTCAGCTATCATCCACGGCACTTACCGGTATCGTCACCAAGCCTCCGTGTGATAGTCGCCGGCTCAAGGTCTCTCTCCTGAGTCTGGCCTCCACGATGTTGATTCAAATTGAGTTTACGATCTCAGCTTCAACCCTCCAAGCCGCCGCCGATCGACAAAAGGGGTCAAGAACGGCGTTTCCAAACCGACGCCTCTCACATCCACAACATCGGAGTTGTCATCTAAATCATGTTGCAAGCCCTCAGTTGCGGGCTCGCGGCAATCTTAACCATCCGCAGCAACATTTCGTCGCGAAATCGACGGCTCTGCCGCTAATTCTAGACTCAACTTCAGACCATCTGTCGCAAGGGGTCAATCTGAAGGCATAGGAAGCTCGTGCCAAGGTCAGCAGGATATCCGTCACCCATCAAACGTCAAATTCCAGCTCGGGTCGCATTGAGTCCTTTTCCAAGCGCGCTCAGACCTACGGCGCCTGCCATGGGATGAGCCAATCCACGCACCCGAGATATCCTCCCCGCAAAAGGAGTCGCCGCGTCACCGTCAATGTTGCTTTCGGGCGATACATCATGGAAACGCGAGGGCGCGGAGCCGAGCTTCCAAACCCGCTCCTCGCAAGGGATCATTCTTCTCGCTCAGGCATGAAGCTGCTGCACTTCTGAGTATTCTTGGCCGTCCGTGATATCGAGCTGCGGCCGTGTGCTTGCAGCTCATTGCATTTCTTTGCTTGGTGAATTTCCCAAGTCAGTGACGAATTTCCCCTCTCGGAACCCTCAGGCCTTGACCCTGCGTAATCCGGGTCTTAATTCGTGCTCCCTACCACAGTAGACGCGAAGGGGCCTCTTAGCGAGGCTTAAGTCGACCTACCTCTGCACATAGTACCAAAGTGCCGGTTAACCTTCGCGATAGCATTCGCATTTTGCCCCAATGCCAGATGCCAATTAAGGTTACCTGCGTTCATCTCAACCCAATCACGTTCTCCCCGGGTATTGTTTGAACGGGTCGCCGTAATGTCTCATCGCGTCTCAAGCGAAAGGTCGCTTGTCATGGGACCTTGCCCATAGCAGCCAGCTCTTACCGCCCGAGGCCGAGGGCTTCTGTTCCCTTTCCGTCATGGTTCCAGGGTAAATCGGCTTCTCTTCCTCCCGCTCCCGGAAGATGCTATGGGGCGGAGGGAAGCGAAGCGGGTGGAGAATATTTCGTCCCATGGATTGGATCGAATGCGAGGCTGTCGTATTAGGAGATGAGATTACTCACGCTACTGTTGTCGATTAGGACTATTGGGCTGGGTGATGTGGGTATTAAGAGCGTTGCTTAAGGGTCCTTTCGCGGCCTCGCCCCATTATATTGCAAGATGATATGGGCCATGGCTGGCCACTAGGGAGAGAGGCAGCAAATACGTCGGTCCATCGTGTCGAATTGTATTCTTACCCAGAAAGCTCTATGTGCTGGGGTGATTCGCCGTATTTTGTCTTGCAAGAACGTTAAACATAAGTACGGAATTTTTTCTTGTCGGTCCATGTGTATCATCTAGTCAATACGCTGGCGACACAGACATTGCCGGATGAAGAACTTCATTCCACTTGTCCTGTGTTATGTCTGCAAAGCACCATGAGCACTAAGGCCTTCTGCCGTCTTCAGTGGAGACTGAATGAAGCTGACAATTTAACGTCTCACCGGGCGATTTCGTTGAAGGTCATGAACGTCGTTTCTTACTGCCCTTCAATTACAATTCGGTGTCTTCTGTAACTTAACGCTACTCACCTTCTCTTCGAGAGAACAAAACAACATTCTACAGTGGCGAGGAATGTAGCACAGACGCCAAATCCTCGGTCTCGCCTTGGGCTTTTGTTTATTATTAGAAGGGAAGAAAGAATCATCATCGCTAAACCTCGGTACGTCCGCAGCCTTTTACAATAGTAAGTTAGCGGATGTAATGAGACTATTCTCGCAGAATAGCACGTAGTTTCTGCTAGAGTATCCTCTCTCTGGTCTGTTTTGTGGCGAATGCTATAAGTAGGACAAGGTTGAGCAACGTCGAGACTCAGCTTGGAGCTGGATGGCACCAGCTCATTCTTATTACTCCGAAATTCGGGAACGATTGTTGAATTAAAGATCATCAACCATTCAGCTTAACAACGTTCGGGAGATAAACAAGTAGATGAATGTTGTTTGCGTTCTCACAGTCGAACCTGGTCAGTACATGTGCGTGTGTTTTTACGTGTATGTGACGAATAATTAGCCTGCTCAGAGAATGACAATGTCAGGGTCACCGGAACCGGCTAGGCGGCAGGGAAGGAGCAACAAAGGAGCAGCGAGGTTTTATACATTGAGCGCAGGTCACACACATCTTATAAGGGGGCAGATTTCAGTAATCCATCTTTTGACCCCTAACTGCAGTTAGCCTCTGTGAGCCTTCACCCTGTGTCACACACCTATTGACAGACAACATGATACTGTAGAAAGAGAAACACAATTTTCGGTTATCAGGTTTGGCACACTGACATTCACAACTGCTGATTACATACTACGACTGATTTAATTTCAAGGATTGGGGGGTGTCAGGAACTGTAAATTGAACGCGATGATTGAGGTGTCCTTCTACCAGTTCTCAAGCGATGCTCTTAATAGCCCCGACAAAGACTCCTGCGTACTTCCTGATGTTTGGACTTTGGTGGCAGAATGTCCGTCTAGAATGCGGTAACCCCAGTTTCTGTGATCTTCGCAGTACACCAATCCTCTCACTTCTCGATTCGCGTCGTTGGTAATTGCACAGCTTCCCCTGATGTCCGTGCCTTTGTTCGCTGCGCAACTGAGGAGTGAGTCCCAGCACCAGTAGGTATCCTCCTCGCAGCTTATCTCAGATTTTTCCACGGCCGTGTTTTTACCCTTTGCTTCTGGATTATCTGCGAGGCAAGCCCCGGACTTGTGAAGTGCTAGAGCAAAATCCCACTCCCACAATTTGATAGATTTCAAGAGCAGATTCCGTCTCACACGTCGCTCTTCCAAGTCTTCCAGTCCTACTGGAGGGATAAAGTAGCTCATAACACGCCGTCGCAAGTCGATAGGTAACCACGATTGTCCCAGAGCACGATCCAGGAGTTCTTCGTCAACCTTTGGCAACAGCACCGGCAGTGTTTGAGCCGTGAAGTCCACCAGAACTGACAAGGCATGAGAGTTCCGCGTTTTAAACGCGTGAAGTATACCAGCACGCGTTATTTGCTTGATGTCGTCCCTGGAAATTCTTTTGCACTGCTCCAGTATCCACTGAGTGATCGTCGCTGATGGGCGACCGCCTCGTTCTATGACCAGATCGACAATGCTCTTGCCGCGGACTGTTCTGCTGATAACGATTAACCTTCTGCTCTCTCTGTCTCCCTGGCGAAACTCGCTTTTGAGCTTTTGGAAAGTTTCGTCGGTGAGCGTCGTATTCGATACTTGAGCAAAGATGCGCATAATTCGGCTGGAATACATCGCTTCCCCTCGAAGGACCTGACACACATCCATATGGATGCCTTTCCAATTATGATGGGCGCACCATTCACCGCAGGTACTTATCGGGCGGTTCAGCAAGCTGCGATTCGCTTGTGGTTTTGGCCACAGCTCTCCGCCGCGAGCTAAGATTTGTGTGACAAGATTGACCAAACAGCCATGAACATCGATCCCGTTGTTTTCTGTCTCATCATCTGGTAAAAGCTGTCGCACTGGCTTGACTTGTATCAATGTCTCGAGAATCTCAGTCTCGATGAGAAGATTATCCTCGACGAAGATCGAGACGAGCTTGTCCAGCAGCGGGTGGTGCTCCAGCATGTTCGCATAGGCTATGGCTTTATGTAGGGCTAGCCATCTGCGGCCTTCCTCGGCACCGCTAAAGACTATATGGCAAGGGTGATCAGCTGGAATATGCGTATCGTAGTCGAATACCGGTATCTCGAGCGGATGCCAGTCGTAGTCGACCCATGGTGCATGATCTTCAATGACCATGCGCTCCCACAAACCCCATGCGTTCGAGGCGGACGAAATGTTTCGTGTGTGTTGAAGCCAATTTGCCTTTGCATAACACAGGAAAGGATGGTCGCGCGTAGTTGTCAGGTCCGTCGGCACGCTGCTATGCCATGGGTTCGTGTGCTGGGCCTCCTGATCCATGTTGAAAACCGATTTCTGCTTGCGGAACGGTATCTTGATCAGATTTGCCACAATCCTGCCATGCGAATTTGGAATTAGAGATTGGATTGTGTTGTCGACTATCATGTCGGGAATGTCAATCTGATAAGGGTTGGGGGCCGTGGTGATGTCGCGGTGGGACGATGTTTTCTTGAAATCTCTGAAGTTGACGTAGGTCAAGCAAATCTCGCCAACGTATATCTCACAACCCATAGGGCTGAAGTTGAACTGAGGAATAGGCTTTCTCATGGACCCAAAAAGATATGTTTTTATCGAGTGATGGCTGAATGACACCGTATCATTTCCTTCTTCTACTTGAATGAGGTTTTCGCACCAAGTAGGAAGGTTGTTGATTCCATTTATGTGCCGAGACCTGTCAGAACGAGGCTGATTGACTTTGACTTGAACTATTTCTTTGACTTGACTCAAAGATAGCGGGTGATATACAGTAGCAACCCAAGCGAAAACAGACTGGGCAATATTTGTGTTACCATTTTGGTGGATTCGTAGGAGTGCTCGATCGAAAGTATCCGGCAGGTTTCTTGGCAGGTGACTTAGTGCTTCGCGAACCTCGTCATCACTACGGCGGGTACATATATCTTCGATGGTCAGAAATGCCCACAGGAACCTGCCAAATTACTACCAAGACCGTATGTCAACGATGAGTGGTGAACTTACATCCCTTCCCCACCTAGACTGATTCCATGGAGAATCTCATCAATCAAGGTCTTATCTTCGACATCCCAGTACCCTCTTCTTTGATTATCTCTTAAAATTTCCTGGGCAAAACGCATTAAGTCGAGGTCCGTATCCGCCAACCCGACAGTCAGCCGTAATGTAGATGGTAGAGAACCATCGACTGCGTCCAAAATACTGTCTCTGCCTGATATCAATATCTTGACCTTAAGTCGTTGGCATTTGAGAAGTAAACCAGAAAAGAAATCCAGAATGGAATGTTGTTCATTTGCCGTGCATTCGTCCAATCCATCAAGCACCAAATAGAAGTCGCGAACTACAGTGGCCGTTCGATGGAATGTTTCTAGGAGAGATTCCGTGTCAAAGAGACAAGACTCTGAATTGTCCATGAGAGCTAATATGCTGTCATCTATTGAGACTCCAGACAGAGCCTGGCAAAGGAGAGAACGAAGTATGACGCCGCAATCCAGGCTACAAATATCGTCAAACCGAATGAAAAAGAATGATAGGGCATCTTGAGCACTTTTCTTTCTCATAATATGGTCAATCACGCTCGAGCTTGAGACTCATTAGCAGATAAGGACGTTGACAGCATGATCAAAGAGATTGTAGATAAGTGTTGACTCGTTGAGGCAAATACTTACACGAGAACAGTTTTCCCGGATCCGACTATCAATAATTAGCATTTTGCCATGGTATTTTGCCTCTGCAAATACTTTTCAACACTGACTTTTGCCCGTAATATTGAGAACAGCAGCCCCCTCATCTTGATGCCATTCTTGAAATTGTCGCGATTCAAAGATCCATTGTGCTGTACCTTTATGGCGCTTGGCTCGGGCGTTTCTATACGCCGTCTCGTAGTCATAAACTGACAACTTTTCTAATGATGCTCTCCGTCTTTGTTCTGGAGCACATGGTTAGATCTGTGAATGAAGCGGCCAATGGATGGAGGAATACTTGTAATATGCTGCTCTCTCCCCCTGATGATATGCTGGATACTTTGGGAGGAGTCACGTGCGAATTTTAATAGGGCATCGCTGGATTTCTTTTGCGAATTCTGCTCTTGACGATCGCAATAAGCCTTTGCCAGAGCTGCCTCATCTTGTACCCTGGTTGCAGCTAGTCGGATGTTGTCAACTGAGGGGCGGATCTTCGACTCGAACGAATCCTTCAATGCCACCCAAGCCTTATCTTTCCCTTCATAGACATTTAGCAGTTTTCTTACAGATTATCATGTTGACTTACAAGTTTGGCGGGTAAGAGTTATTATCTGACTACAACATGAGACAATGGCGAGGTGAAAATCGCATATCAACGTCTTCAGGCGATCTGAATGTGGGAACAAGCGTTCATACTCAGCAAACTGTGGAATCAGATGATCAAATCCTCTAAGAAGACCAGTGAATCTCTCGAAATAGCTCGTGAAGTTGATTAAAACCTGTTGAAGTCAGTCTCAAAAGTTGTATATCAATACTAGGGCTGGAACTTGACGAACCGAATATGTTAATTTCAAAGAACCCCAAATAAGAGCTGCAATTTGGGGATTGGAGGACACATAAGTGTCCACAACCTGTGAGAAGCCCTGAACAGTTTGCAAAAGAGAACAGACTTTCGAAGCGATAGTCTTTCCACTCTTAACGTGGTCTAGTTCGTCTAACTCCAAAGTGAACTTGAAGGCGGCATCGGCATCTTTCCACCCATTCCTCTGCGAATGAAGCTTTCGACGCTCTTCATCAGTGAGGATGGCTTGGAAATGGGCCAGCGCGACTTCGAGGTCAGCTTGATCGTGGATCTTGTCAGCCCCTAGTAACAAAGGCTTCGGTGATGCCGCAGGACTATGCGGCAACGAAAAGCTCATCTCGCCGATGACGAGAATTTGAATGTAGGAGATCGTCAGATGCCTGACCGCTCAGATAAGCTTTCAGTAGAATTCCGTGCCGCCTGCCTTTTTCCCCGCCCCATCTGGTCCAGATGATCTGGATTACGTCTGCGGATACGGTCGGCATTATTTCAAAATATTGAGTGAAGACGATTGGTTCAGACACTTTTGACAAGGCAGAATATGGGCTTGGCACTGCCTGCATTGGTTCGCGCACTATTGGAAGACATCGCTTTGGCAATGAGCTATCAGCTGTGACATGGTTACCCCCTTGTCAATTTGGAGACGAATCATTGGGTAAGTTGGACCTGCACAACGAAAGTGTCTCTTCAAGGCAGCCCCTATTACAGTCTGTTGCACTAACAGCGTCCGCCCCCCCTTTTTGCTGAAATTACGCACGTATAATCCCTATATATATATAAAAATTTGCTTAACGCTATATACATATTTATACTATAGTAATTAACCTATTTTAATAGCTTTAATTAATTTATTCTTATTAAATCTTATAATTTAAAAATATTATAATATTTCTTAAGTATTATTATATACCTTAATAAGTCGATAATAACTTATTTAAGTATTATCTATTATTTATTATTAATAGTATATAGAAATAATAATATATATAATAACTAATATAAAATACTACTAGAGATTTCTTAACGCTCTATTTTATTATTAATTAAGATTATTATATTTATCAAGAGGGCTTATTAAGCTATTATTATTAAAGAGGTTACTAGAAAAGCTATTAAGAAAGTTATTATTATTAGAATTACTTTTAGAACTAATAATTTAGTAGCTTTAAGTTTATATTATAAAGAATATATATATATATATATATATAACCTTTTTTTTATTATAAAAGGCTTTAAAAACATTTTTTTACTAAAAAAGAATAATAATATAGAGAAAATAAAAAAGAGATGTACTATAAGAAATCTAACTCTAAAATATTCTATTTTTGTTAATATTATTATTTTAATTAGATTTAATTTTAGTTAATTTAACTTTTTATTAAACTATTTAATTTATAAATAATATATTTATAGCTTCTTATTATAGTATTAATAATGTATTTATATTATTTCTTAATATATTTGAAGAGGATGAAGATATAAATAATAACAAATTAATTTTGTTATAAATCTGAGTTATTTATAGCTTAATACTTAAAAGTAATAATTGATTTATTTTCAATTTAATTATTAAAATTATTATATATAATAAACTTAGCTTTATTAATATATTAGATATAAATAATAATATTTAACTTAAAATAGAAATAGTTTATTTATATAACTTAAAAAAGCTAATATTATTATGATTATTGTTAAAAATCTAATTAATATATTTAAATTAATATTAATTTTTATTTAGGTGTATCTATTTACTAAAGAAGTTATTTAGCTAAATATTCTATAAATTAATATTATTCTCTTTTTTTAATAAATTAAAAAAAGAAATAAAATCTATTTTATAATTAGATAGTAATATAGTGGTATATTAATATCTAATAGAATAGTACTTAATATATAAATATTTTAAAAGAGTAATTAAATAAATATTTTAGCTAATATATAAAAAGTAATTAGTTATAAGTTTAATAATTTTATAAATATTAAATATTAAAAAGAAAATATATATAAATAACTTCTCTATATATATATCTATTTAGAGTATTATAAATATGAAAATAGTTTAAATAATAACAAATTTAATTAGTATTATATGTTAAACTAGAAATATTATAAAATTAAATTTTACTATGTAGAGAAATAAATAGAAATTATTATAATTAAATAGATTAATATTAATAATATAGAACTATTTGAAAAATTATTTAGTGAGATTTTTTATAATTAATTTATTAAGGATTAAAATTATTAAAATAAGAGAAATAGAAATGGTATTAAAATTAATAATAATTAAGAGATAATAATAATAATAATAATAGAAAAGAAAGCTAAAAATGTTATTTTTTATTATTAAAGTTAAGATCTAATTTAATTAATATTAATAATAATATTATTATTAATATATATAGTAATATAGAGGTGTTAGATTTTTGTTTCTAATATTTTAATTTATATATATAACTATTATTACTAATATTACTATTATTAATATATTAGCTATAACTGTATAAATATTTTATAATATGTATTATTAATTCTTCTATTATTATACTTTTTAAGTATTTACTAATTAAATATTGTACTTTTAATTTATTTATTTTTATTAATAATGTTAAGTTTATTCTAAAAAGCTTTAGATGAAATAGCTAGTTTTATTAAATAATTTATATCTATTTATAATAAGTAATATAATATTAATAAAGAGTTTTAAAAAACGCTACATAGATTATAATTAATACATAGTAATTTATAAATAATTTACAAATTACTAAATATTTAGTTTACTAAATAGACTTTTATTTAAGATTTTACTAAAAATATTAAAAATGTAACTAAACTTTTTATAGAGAATAATATTTGTTATAAAGAGTAGTTCAACGCTCTCTCTAATATAATATTTATTTTAATTCTTATTTATATTATTAAAAGTTAAAAAGAGATATTTATATAAAAATATACATTAGATTATTAAGAGGAATAATAATAATATTAGTTAAACAATATTAGTTTTAAATAAATTAAAGTTATTTTAA